GCTTCATATTCAGGACAAATCTAACACTCTCTTACACAATAATACATAATTTTTTGATTTCTAACTAATGATAAATGTTTTCTTCATTTTTTTTATTTTGTAGTAATCGTGAGCATACAACAAATAATATTTTTGAATTAATGTTACATTTTTTACAAGAAATACATTTACAAATCAATGAAAAATTTATTCCAAATTATTTTAATCATGAAATAAATCTCTATGAAACAAATGAAAATTATAATCAATGGTTTGATTATATAAATAAATGTTTAAATGATCAACATATAGATATACCAATATCATTATTAACAATATCAAATCGTTCAATAATTGTTGAATTTTTATTTCATTTTATTGATCAATTATATCAAACATTTCATATAAAACGTTCACAATTTCATTTAAATGAAAATGTTCTTATAGATTTACATAAACAATTATGTGAACAATTATCAAATGATACAAATAATAATAGTACAATATTACAAAAATTTATTAATCATTTATTAAATAATCAACAAATTCTTGAACATATACAAATGAATTTAACATATGATTTTGAAACAAATGCTGAATTAGTACATACATGTTTAAATCAAGTTCGAAAAGCAGATTCATCATTAATATTTCATTATACATGGACTATATATATACAATATTTACATACATATTACAATGTATTATGGAATATTTGAAAAAACAAAAACAAAAATAATAATAAACATTAAATCGTCAGATATATAGTTTTCTTTTTACGATTTTTTTCCCGGTGATCGTTGAGATTTCTCTTTTTTTTTTTTGCGTGAACGCATTATCGCTTCTGTCGTCTTACTTATTCTATATATATTCTCGTTTTTTTTTCTGTCTCTTATTTTACTTGCGTACAAATGAAAAAAACTACGCATGAGAATGTATGATTAGATAGATATATTCCTTTTTTTTTTTTTTTTGTTATTGTTGTTGTTCTTCTCGATCTTTCATGCTTATTTGTTCAACTTTAGATGATGATAAATAAAAAGAATAATCTGAAGTAGATTTATTAAAGTTTAAAAAAGAATTACAATAAAATCTATTGGTAAAATTTATTTTCTTCAAATGAAACAAATAGATTTCAAATAATTTTAAGTATATAAAAATTTTCTCTTTATTAGTATTTATTTTGTGAGACACGATATAAAAGGTGTATTGAAGTATACAGGGTAGAAATTTGCATTCTCCTCACCGACAGGCTCCAAAAAGCAACTTTATCGTGTTTCACATTTTGATTCCATAGGAATAGTGCTAACAGCTTTTTTTATTCAATGAATAAATTTGCAAGTAGTCTTAGATTGCCGAAAGATAATTACTTGTCAATGTTGTACAGTAAAAATTCGATATATGAGTACTTTCTTAGAGACTGGACAATCTATAGTCCGTCCAAGTGAATTTTGCTAGGAGTAAATCTCTCAAATAGAATCCGTCGGATCCAACATTGTGGAACCTGGAGCCGGTTCACTGAACGGTTTTTTTTTTACTCGGACCTGACTGATTGAAATTCTTCTGACCAGGACTTGGTGTTGCACCGTATTTTGAAATTTTCTAATTGAAACTAGATAATCGTTCTGAAGATACGAGAGAATTTTTTGTATTCGATGATTAGCGCACTTCACACATTTCTCAGACGACTGGAGTCTGTCAGGTTCAAAACTTTCAGACTCGAACTCAATAGATTCTACTCTCATATATGAGTATATTTTGATTTTGAACAGTAAACGCTTATTTCTGGTCCAATAAGCAATAACAATCTCTCTACTATGAATAACATATGTTCTATCACTCGCGCGCAGGATGAGAAAAAAAAGCCGATGTTATGTGTATTGAGTTATAATAGACGATCATGGAGTGCATATTAAAAAGAGAAAAAAGATAATGTTAGACAACAGCAACAATGCTTGGCGTAACATTTCATCGTTTTTGTGTTGACAGCTGCGTAGTAACATTGCATGATGTCATTAAATACCGATTTACCTTTGATTAAAAGAGTCGAATTAATAACTGCTTGAAAAGAGGTAAAAAAAAGAAACTGAAAACTTCTTAATAATGAGTACCTACGTAAAATGAACACTTATAGGTGGTTTTATTGATTGTAAAAAAGAAAATTTCGATGACATATCTTCAAGAGTTTCATTTTTATTTTTCTTATCATAGAAAGAATTTTATTCTAAAGTTATTCATTAAAATGAAAATTCACTAGACAAGAATTTTTATTATTGGAATTGATCTACGACGAGGTATAAACAAAATTGTATATCACGAAATGCTTTGCATTGCAGGAACAGATAGGATAGGCCATTGTTTTTCAATCGCAAAAGGAATTAAAACAAAAAAAAAAGAAAAAAAAAAGAACCGAAGAGAAAAAAAGAAAGAAAAAGACGAGCATAAAAGAAAGACATTGGAGTGAGATGAAATAATAATAAAAAAAAAAGAAAAAGAAAAAACAAAAGGATTCGTTTTAATCATTTTTAATGATACGTGTTCATTTTTTTTTTGTTTATACTCCAATTAACCATTAACACCATATTGTTGCATTGTTTGATATTGTACACTTTGTACAAAACCATTGCCATGTTGACCCTGTTGTTCAAAACCTTGTTGTTCAGCTAGAAATATATATATACATATAATATCGATAATTAAAAAAAAAAAATTTCACTCACAAGCATATTGTTGACCTTCAACAGTACTACCCGTTGAATATGCTGCTTGTTGATAAATGAATCTACCTTGTTGTTCACCAGAAACTTGATCAGTACCATTTGCAACTCCATTACCATATGATGTATATTGAACATTTTCTTGCATAAATCCAGTTTGTCCATTAGCAGTCAATGAACCATTTGATGCACTAGCAAGTAAACCTGAATCACCAGCAACATCATATCCACCTAGAGGACCAGCAGCACCAGCTAATAATGCTGGATCGACTTGATCAGGATTAGAAACAGTTGTCTAAAAGAAAAAAATAAATTCTTTTTTTCTTGTTTGTTTGATTAAAAGAAAATTTTTTTTCATACATATTCTGGTCCAAGATTAGGTGTAGGTAATCCTCTAACAAAATCTGGTAAACCTTGTGTAGGTCGTAATTGTGAACCATATTGTTGTACATATGTATTTGGATCAGCTTTGATTATACCCAAATTACGAAATTCCTTGACAACACGAGCTTGTGTACCTTCCCATTGAATAATAAGATTTTTTTGAGGTGCTGGTGGTTGTACTGGTGGTGCTTTTTGATAGATAACACGTCGTTTTTGTTGTTTATATGGAAGCCAACGTTCCACAATAATACTAAAAAACAAAAAAAAAAAGTGATTATTTTTGATAAAGAAAATCAAGTTAACAACTAACCTTTGAGGTTTAGGTGGTAGTGGTGGCATTCGTTCAATGATAACACGTCGCGGTGGTGGTGGTGGAGGTGGTAATGGTTTAGTAACTAATTTAGGTGCAAGTTGAGGTGGCGGTTGTGGTGGTCGTTCTCGAATAATAAGTGGAGGTGGTGTAGCTGGTCGTGGTGGTCGTTGTCGAATAACAATAGGTGGAGCAGGAGGTAATGCTGGATTACGTACCTAATAAAAATAATAAATTCTTTTTTTTTTTGTATTTCTTTATTCTAATTTCTAAAGTCTTTTTTTTTCTCCGTTTACCTCTTTGATAATTAAAGGACCAGGTGGTGGTGGTGTTGGTGGACGTAAATATCGTACAGCAACTTCTTGTTTATATGTAACAGCATCATTAGCATGTTTACGAATAATTTGTGGATTAGGATCAAAATTAATTTTATAACCATTTTGTCCTTGTTGTTGTGCAAGTTGACCAGCCGTACCTACATATTGTTGAACAATACCAGCATTATTTTGTTCGAGATAACCACCACCACCACCAACTTGTTGTTCATTAGGAAGTTCAGATCCACTACGTGTATATTGAGTATAATTCATATCTTGACCTTGATGACCATTTGCTTGTTGATCACCAGTTTCTTGCATTACTTGTTGTTGTTCAACACCATTTGCTTCACTATAATATTGATGACCACCTGGACTTGTTGTTTGATTTTGATAACTATACTGATGTTGAACATATTGTTGTTCGGGATTTCCAGGTGATGTTGATGACGGATATGCTGCAGCAACAGTATCAGCCATAATAATTAAAATATTTGCTCGAGGTTATTTTTTGTTGTTTAGTCTTTTTTTTGATCGAATTAATGTGAATATATGTACGTATTGATGTACCTTTTGTGTCACACGTTCAATAGCAAAAGAGATATAAGGGGTGGTCACCAAGAGAAAAGAAAGAAAAGAAAAAAAGAAGAAAAAAAGAAGACTCACTATTTCATCGTATTTTGTGTGATTAATGATGCGCAACTTGCGTTTCATCGGTCATTCGATCACTATATAGATATTTTTCTTTGGATTCTTTGAGTAAATTTCTCGCGATCGTCGTGCTTGACTTACTTTCACAATGAAGAGATGAGTAAATGAGTCCGCACTCATTTTTCATAAACATGCTCATTTCATCGTCCATCGATCGATCATCTAGTCGTCAATCGCCGATGCGTAAACTCTCTTTTGCCATTGGTAATGAGATGAAAAATACGTGATACATATATAGAAAGTATCTCATTGCTTTCTCTCTTTTCTTTTTAAATGCATGTCATCTATAACTATTCAAATATATATGCAAGTAATCACTGTTATTATATGATTAACAGTCATATTTTGTTGTTGTCTTGATTATAATAGAATATGAAAGGAAATGTAGAAGTTTATATAAACTAAAAGAAAAAGGATCTACAAATATATATATATGTATATCAATGAACATTCATTCTATATATGAGAAATAGACATTCTTTGATTTTTTTGGTCATTTTTTTATTGGAGAATTTTCTCGTTATTCTCATTTTTTTGCTTCAACGTAATGATCATGACATGTATATATTTTATAAGTGGCATTCATCGTCGTTGTTGTTGTTGCTGTTGGTATTGTTGTTGCTGTTGTTGTTTCCAAGCTGGGACATCTTTGAGTGAACGATATCTAGTTAAAGGTGAACATAGTTCAGTTATATCGTTTCGATTTGGTCGACAAAACCATTTTGGCATACTACGAAATCGAAAATGCACATAACAGCAATTTCCATCTCCACAATCTTCATGAAATTGACAGTGATCCCATTCTTAAGAATACGAAAAAAAAAAGAAAGATGAGAATATGATTTATATATATTGATTATAGTTACCCATTTTTTTTCTGTCGGGACTCGGTTTTGATTTATAGAATGGCAATGCAGGTTTACTAATTCCATAGGGATAAAGTTGATTGCTTGGATTGTAATATGGTGGAATGATAAAATCTTCCGAATCATGTTTTGAACGCAAATTCAATGTGGATGGTAAACAAAGATTGTTTTCTATTTTTTTTTTTTGTATAAAAAAAATTAAAATAAATAGTTAATAAGACAATGATCATACCTTGACTTGAATAACAAATTAAATCTGAACAGCAATCACTATTTTCTTGACAATTATCTCCTATGTTTTTACATTGTTGAATCTGTTCATTTTGAAAAATAATATTTTTTGAATTATTATCAATTGTTGCCAAACATATATTTGAAATTAAAAATACAGTACAAGAAGTAATGAGTAGCCACATGAGGATAAAATACACTGTTGACAATAAAACAGTTTTTTTTTATAAGAGGGATTCAAGTAATAATAGAATAGAATATCGTCTTCCGATGATAGCAGTTAAACACTATACAAAAAAATGAATAAGATATAACATGCAATAACGGGAAACATAAAAAGCGGCTTTTCTTTGTTTTTTTCTTTTTCTATATATTCATACATATCCGGTGATGAGAAAATGATCAATTTTTTTCGTTCATCTACATTTATATAGTAATAATAGAAGTTAGTCTATTATGATTATGAGTTAGATAGTTGACTCATGATTTATATTATTTCCATTTATAGATCAGAATGAACTTTAAGAAGTATAATGCCTCGATCTCTATACAGTATTCGAGTACAAGGAAAATAAAATGTAAAACAAATCATTTTTATTTTACAATTAACAGTAAGAAAACGCCTACATCGATCTATATAGTAAAAAGCAAATGTATGTAAAACAAAAGATGCTACTTCTCTTTTTCTATATTCTCAAAACGTTAATCATTCATGCTTGTTAGTGCATGAGTACTATCAAATCGAATCAAGTGTAATGCATAGTAGCAGAAGAAAAAGAAGAAGAAGAAGCAAATCTAATTTCTTGTTTTTCCACAGATTGAACGGAAAAAGTAATGTCTATATAAAACTTATACAATATGTTACTGAACAATCGTATATAGTTTACCTTTTTATATATTGAATCTAGATAGATTTATATATTCAACGACGTCAAAATAAAATAATCATTGTAAAAATAACAAAGAGAAAAGCTTATCAAGATGAAGCATCATCTATGTTTTCTTTAAATAATTGAAATACTACCCACAAATTTTATGTTTCTATATTTAATGCCGGAGGAAAAATAATACTAAGTATAGGCAACATTCTACTAGTTTCTCATCTCATTATCTCTCATGTCTTCAAATAAGCATGCCGGATTTATTTTATCCAAAATGCTCGTTAAGTATGAGACGTATCATATATTTTACAAATGCATTTCTTTTTCTCTTGTTAAAAAAAGTAATCATTATAAAAATAGCATACCAATAAAAAAAAATCAAATTCTATTTGAATTGAGAGTGAAAAAAATAATAGTGAATCTAACGTTGAATCAATGCCATGAATGGATTGCCTATGCACGCTTATTTAATCATTAATTTGATTTATTCTACGAGGCTAGTCATCATCTTCTGTTATATTTCTTTTTTTCTCTTTGGTTTCCTTTTTTCTACTCTCGTTTAGTAACTTTTTTTTTTT